TTAAACATGGTTAACTGGTTAAATGTTTCACCCCTCTACTGCCAAACATGTTGACCGCCGAGGTGGTCACTGATGTCGTAACAAAATGTTTAGTTACGCGGGCAGCTAAATAATAGTGTAACTTGGGAACTATGATACCAAATCATTGCTAATTCATTCTAATAAATACCATTTGAGTATATTATGAAACGGTAAATAATGCTATACGAAACGCTCTAAATTCTCATAGGTTAGGTCAACGTGTTAAATGAGCTTAACCCTTTGCGCTCCTATGTCGAGCGTGACTCGACATCAGTTTTATTCACGGGTGTGCTTCTTTGTCAAGATATTTTTCAAGTAAATTATATTATTACGTTATTTTCAATATTATTAATAAGAAGAATCGCTTACACTGTTCTCTACAAACTAATTATTTTTTAAAATGCATTTCAAATAAAATATCGTAATAATACAGAGTTATCGAGAAAAAGGTGCAACAGAAATTCGGGGTGCAAAGAGTTAAAATACGTATATTGTCAAGGACATCATATTGAACATTTTCTTTTTATCTGTACTAAATTTGGCCTAACTAACTTAACACATTGCGCATCGGAAACAAGAAATCTCATTTTTCTACAAACACCTACCGACGGTTCTGAGCTGTATCGGTTTCGGTTGCGGTACTTCCAATATCACCAGCTATGTAATTGCATTCGACGACTATACACGTCATCTTAAAACGCAAAATGGTATTAATTCCTTCAACGATGAATTATTTATATTTCAGATGAACATGTAATTCTTCTTCGTTTTGTTTTAATTTGCCCTGCGTTTGACGAGTATATACTTCATTGTTTGATTTTACTGCGCACACAGTAAAAGATTTTGTATCAGTTCTATAACAATCAGCTTTCGGTTCTAGAAGAAATGCACAACCAAAATATAGAACCGAAATGCAAAACTAAAAAATAACAGTCATAGTATATGTATAGAACCGATACAGCTCAGAACCGATATTCCTAATAAAAATTATGACTCTTTTTCGGTCCTCCATAACTGTTTCAATCGAAATCAATGTATAACAATTTCGAACAGTTGTTTTCGGAACCTTTTCAGTCCTTGCTTTCCAGTTACTGTTTTCTTATGACAGTTGCTCTGATATAACGAATAATTTGATGAATCCCGATTGAGCGATCAAATTGTTTCAGTGTTACATAGTACTATTCAAAATAGCACTTAAGTGAAACGACGTTGTTCATTTGAATGATTCCACTGAAAAGATCTTGAAAATCGTTTTTAGCAGAATCGATTGTGCACAAACATATCGAACTCTATTCCTGCAGACGATACAGTGCAAGATTGAGAAACCACCCCAATGCACTAGCTATAGATATATATTCTATACACCAACTTCGTACAGTTAAAAGGAAACGTCCTTGTGATGTACAACGTTAACCCTTTGCAAGTGTATGTCATGCTGGAGATGACAATACAAATGTGTTATAGAATTTGCATGTCATGCTAGAGCTGACAACACTAATTTACTCTAAAACACGACGTCACGTTGGGAATTGTTTTAAAAAGTATCATGCTTTAAAAGATTATAAAAATTAACTCATATTATAATAATAATAAATAAAATAAACATAAAACGTTGAATTCTACCGTTGTAAATTACTTTAATTCGTTTCCCTATAAATAAATACAAGTTCACATTCAACAACACTGAAAATAAATCGAGTGCAAAGGGTTGATATTCAAACCCTTGGTTTGGTACACAAAATGCCATTCTATAGGACAGGTATCACCGTGATATATCTCCTAATCATGCTAAGTTAATTTACCAAATGTTCTACTGGATAAATTGCAAAGATTCTTGGAAAATAAAAAAGAAATCCTGAGGAATCATTGTATTTTCTTCTGTAGGAAGGTCGTCCAGAGAAAGCGTCCTTTGCCTCAATGTATTCGTCTCTCTTTCCAACTTGAACATCTTCAAGCCATTCGTGGGTATCGGCGACGTTGATGAAGGACATTGCGTCTAGATGGTGTCATAGTTTCCCGTAGCTCGACCACCCTCGCTTTCACCAGTCCTTGAAATGTTATTGTTGCGTGAGAACGTTTCTCGCTTTCGATCCATTTCCTGTCGTTTCTTACACCGCTGACCTTTCATACACACTTCACACTTCTCACGCTCTATTGCTGGAAACACTTTTACACTCTCATTGATTCATTCGATGGACTTTGAACTCAGGCGCTTACCGAAACAGTGTAAATACCTATGTCTAACGACTTATTGTAGTATCTTCGAGAGAAGATAAGGAATTGTAAAACATTACCCGTCAGTGGTTCTGGGTTAAGTGCCGTGCATTCTGGCACGGACCTTTTAACAAAAGGTGTCATTGTTTTCCCACTTCTTGGCGAAATCATTCGAGAATAATTGTATATTAGAGGGAGCAATGTTGAGTTATTTCCTACTTTGGACGTACACAGACCACTTTCAAATGTTTAATACTGGAGGTATAAGATGAATCAAAATGACCCGTTTCGAATTTCTTCTCCTGAAATTTTATTTATGAAGTAGGATTTTTCTGTTAGAAGTAATTGAACGAATTGATTTTATTATGCGCGCGCTGAGATGTATGTTAATCGAAATTTCAACAAATGAATTTTTGTAATTTGTACAAGAATACTCAAAGCAGTTAAACTGGGTTCTAACGTTAATGAGTTCGGTGACAATCAGTAGTTGAATGATCAAACGTGGAGCGTTAGCGATCGCTTAAATAACAAAGTGGTTTGGTTTGATTCATTTATTTAATATTATATGATTTTTTACATAGTTAAACTTGTATAAACGAGCAAATAGATTTCTATTGATATTGTGTTTAATTATGTTAATTTAAAAAAACGCAAAAGACACTGCTAATGTACGACAATTTCTAGAAGAAACCTTGTAAAAAAATGGTTTTTATATTTCGAATTAAATTTCACTTTATACACGTTATCGCGAAAAGAGACGCAAATGAACTTTTACGCGCTTTGTTTTTTAAATAAATTTTATAGAACTAAAATAATGTCGGAAACCACCCCGCTCTGTGTTTCAGTTTCTCATGAAGTCTTTTATAGTTTAATACTCGTATTATCAAAGTTAAATTCGAGTTTCAGATCTTACTGTAATATGCGCCATTCCATTTTATTGGTAACGTTGCAAACGACTCAGAAATGGTCAGTAAAACTTACAATTAATGTTTTAAAGAATTTAACCATAAGAATCGAAAATACTGAACCGTTATTATTTTGAGTCGCGTTACAAAAATGTAGTTCAGTTGCACATTAGTTGATGATGATAAATATACATATAACAGTTACTTCATTCAAATAGAAGTTCGTTTCTGTGAAAAGATATGGCTTCTAACAGTTGTGTGAATCACCCTGTAAATTAGTAAAATTCAAAATTAATACCAGTCTTGACACGTGGATTATTTTTCATTTAGTGATATGAAGCAGCATTTTTCTGTAAATTATTCTGCTTGTGGGTGCGAATTTATTAAAATGGAATAAATGCCTATATTACACATCCCCATTCAAATACAAATAATTCATCATCTTTATTCGTCATACTACTACAGTTTTTATTTGAAACTTATTGCATATATAGGAGCTTCATTTACACAATTTGTTGAAATATTTTTAGAGATCTAAACAGTGGAATATATATATATAGTCGATTTTATGGTACTCAATTATTCTATAACAACCTTCTTTTTATACAAACAACATAGAATTATTTATTGTCATAAACTTTTATGTTGAGACTACTCTCATTACAAAATAGAAAAAGGATAAACTAATCATACGATTAATCGTGTGTTTTATGAAAATTAAATACACATGAATGTATAGAATTTAATTGTTCTTAATTTAACGACTTAATTATTAGTTCTCTAAGATGACGTACAGTAGTGGTCATTATTAGTGGTACATGTGTAGCAAGCTGAGAAATGTAACTCTAATTTGTAATTTATTGTAAAATATACATTACTTAAAACAATGAATGTAGTAACAGTAAATATAAAAGTAAAAAAACAAAAAAAAAATATATATATATATATACAA